GTTCCACCGATGCCAAATGGAACGGCGGCGTTCCTTCGTGCCTCCTAAAAGCAACGCGTTCCAGGAACGCCGTTCCTTACAACACAGGGCTTGACCCGCTATATCCTTACAACACTAGACACGCTTCCGACAGCGTGCATCCGCAAAGATAATCTCCGCCAAGACTGCGAGAACCGACCAACTTTCTAATCTCAAGGTCTTATATTTAAAAGTTTCTTAAACATCTCGTTTGCGTGCGTTCACTTCCCAGAAAGTCACGCTGGCCTAAGCTTTGTTTCATCTCTCTGTTTCCTTGTGTTCCCTCCTAAGAACTCCCCCCCCCCGTCCTCCCCTCCCTCCAACTTGTTATACCCCTGTCAGACGGGCTAGTTTAGTGTCACTACAAGCGAGTGCACTTCGCCCTTAGTGTCATTTCTGTAGTGTGCCGCACGGCTCCTTCCTGAGGAACACACTTGGCTTGGAGTGAGTTTGACGAACTCACTTCGCTCGATCGAGTGCGTGGCATTAATAGGAGTATTTCAACAGTAAAATATAACAACACAGAAACCAAAAGCGTGGCGTGAGTTTTATTTTATAAAGAAAAAGAAATTCGTGAAAGAGACGACATGTAGAAGAGTAATATTGCAAAAAAAAAAAAAAACTAGTGGGGTGGACTTTTAGATTGATCTGAATCAATTTTAGGCCGAGTTTAGGCTGATCTGAATCAAGATTAGCGGAGCGCTGAACTTATAAAAGACGGCGACGAAGTCAGTCATTCATGGCTATCTTGGTTAGCAGAAAATGATAGAACCTACTTTTGTTTCAGCATGTAAGTAATCGAGACAACACGATAATTATGGTCTGATTAAGCAGTGTCAGGGCCTCCTCGTAGACTTCCGTGGAACGAAGCGGAACGCCAAAGTTGGATATGCTTCGTTCTTTATATTGGCTTGCGACGATCGATCAGAATCATCCAATTGGCATAAAAATCGTTCATTAATGTAACGTTGTTTTAGAGCACAGCTCCTAGGCACCCGTTTCTGGGTTGAGCGGCGTCGGCGTAATCGCGCGTTGCATTAAGGGCTGTTTCCCAAAATGAAGTCACACGTGACGTCACGTGTGTCGTCACGTGTGACGTCACGAGGGTAAAATTTTCCCGTTAAATTTTGCGGTAAAAGTTTTTCCTATGTTTGGCGGAACATTTTCCGCTAAATTTAGAGGAAAATTTTACCCGTGTTACGTCACGTGACGTCACACTTAAAATTTTATATGACGTGTCATGTGACGTCACACGTCAATTCAGTGAGAAAATTTCCCGGCTAAATTTAGCGGGAAATTTAGCAAAATTTTCACGCTAAGTGGGATGGGAACAGGAGAGGATGGTACGGAGGGGGTGCAGCTGGCATACCCTCCCCTTCGTACCCTTCCTCCCTCCTCCTCAAGAGCTGCGCTCCAATTCGGCATTACAGAGAATTGTAAACGTCTAATTTTTTTTAACGCGTCTTTATTAAGGGGTATCGGTGGCCGAGTGTGCTAGCGCCCACCTGATCGGAGTGCGTGGAGAGAAAACTCGCGCTGCAGAACCCAACGATCTTGAGCTCAATCCTCAGCCCTGCCCGAAGAACACACTTCCAATGAAGTGAGTTCGGGGAGCACACTACGCTCACTCCGGTAGACCGTGTGTGTAATCTCAATAGCAGTGTTCAAGGAGTAAAAATAATAGAAGAAATTAACGCCGCGTAAGATTAGTATTATTTTGATAGGAGTAATATTAGATGCGCATTAGTTTCCTGTTGGCAGGAAAGTAGTTCATTGTAGAAAAACAAGCGGTTAATCTAGTTTCCAGCCTTGGCCCCTGCGCGACGGCCAGCGATCGCCAGGAGGCACCTGCAGGACTCCATCAGGAATCTGAAGGTGGCAGGAGAGACGCGAAAGGCTTGCTTGAAATAGAACTCGCCCAAATGGGGCAAGGTGTCTTCGAACCACCGTTCGTTCCTCTGGAAAGTCCACCGTTCTCGACTGATCACGGGTAGGTTGTCGGTCATGAGAGCGGCTATGGTGAGGGCATTGGCCTGCAGCTGCTGATCGATGTCACTTGATATTCTTGCCTGTGCGTCGGCATCCAGATCCAGCTGCCTTTTATCTGAAAGGCGTTGGGCTCTCACGGAGAAAGGTGCACAAGCCACGTGCTTCCACTGTCCAACATCGCGGATATTGCCCTCCAGCTCGTCCTCCACACACTCCATGATGTTTCATTGTGGTGAGTGGCGAGTGGCCGAGTGGGCTCGCACACACCAAGCTCGGGGCACGCGGAGCGAAAGCTCGCGCTGCAGAACCCAGGAATCCTGGGTTCAATCCCTACTTCCTGCTTGTTTGGATTTATACTCCGTTTCAGCTGATGTTATACCGCAGACAAGGCTAGATGCGCGAGCTCATAGCGTTGGGAGCTACTCTTAACGCACGAGCGCTTGTGCCGCCTTGATGTGCCCTAGAGCAAGGAGCTCGCGCTTGTAGCCTTTTCTGCGGTACATCATAAGGTGAAACAGAGTATCGTACCGGCGTGCGGACGTGTATCACTGGCTTGTAATGGCTGATCGTAATGATCAAATTGGATTTAAATTTGGATTAGAACTCGGGACTTAGCGCAACAATGTGTGGTAACGTGTTTCTAATAAGACGACAAAGTTATTTATGAAAAAAATGCGTATGCACTGTAACATTTTGCGTGCCCACTACTTACCCATCGTTATTGCCATCATTTTGGAGTGATACTAAGTTTTCCCGTGTAGCACCAACACACTTGGAGTGTGTTTTTGACGGGTTTTTGAAATGCACTCGCTTGTTGTGACACTAAACTAGCCCGTCTGACAGGGGTATCAGTTTCAAATGACCGAGTCACACTACAGCGACAAAAAAAAACAAACGCGAGTGATAAGCCTCAAACACGTGCAGCACGCTCGCGATGATACCTCTGGCAGGCGTTTAGACATTCGGTGCTCGTGCAAGCCTGCCAAAGATACCCTCGCTTTGCATGATGCTCGTGTTTGAGCATAACCTCCTTTATTCTACAAAGCCTTTCAAATCGCGAAAGACTCTGGTTTGAGGATTGTCGCTGTCGTTTGTTTCTGCTTGTCGTTCTAGTAGGACTCTGGCATAAGGAGTGTCGGCGGATGCTACAGCGGCTTGTAGTTGCGAACAGTATCAAGGAAAAATTGCCTTGATGACTCAATCGCACACAAGGAAGGTCAGTCACTGCATAAACAAAGCGAGGGAAATTTTTTTGACATGTTCTTTCCAAATCCTTATAAGAGGGTTTCTGAAGGCCTCTCTCCGGGCTATGAATAAATGTGTGGTTAGCGTTGTGAAACGAAAACGGGAAGAAAACATCCTTGTGGTTACAAGCTTCTAACTGTATTCAATGATATTGTAGTGAGTGCGCAGGCGAGCTGGTGGAAATTAACCATTCTGATGGTAGCCTGAGACTGAGGCAGGAAAAGAGGAAGTTTCAAAGTAGAAGAAAAAGGAACAGTCGAGGATACGTCTCTAACACAGCTAAAGACAAGTTTATTCGGTCACCCAAGAGGGTGACCGAATAAACTTGACTTTAGCTGTGTTAGAGACGTATCCTCGACTGTTCCTTTTTTAGAGCGCAGCTCTTAGGGGCCCGTTTCCAGCCTGAGCGGCGTCGCCGTCGGCGTCGGCGTCGCCGTCGCCGTCGGCGTCGGCGTCGGCGTCGGCGTAACCGCGCCCCTCCCTCTCCTTCTCCCCCTCCTCCTCCCCTCCTCCTCCTCCCCCTTCTCCCCTCCCCTCCTCCTCCTCCCCCTCTTCCTCCTCCCCCTCCCCCTCCTTCTCCTCCTCCTCCCCTCATTGTCCGGCTTGAGCGGCAAGGAGGAAAGCAGTGCGAAGGTGGAGGAGGGGGGAGGAGAGACGAGGAGCCGGAGGCGAGGGGGGGGAGGAGCTTGAAGGACGACGAGGTGGTAAAGGAGAGGGAGTGGGAGCGGGAGGCGAGGAGGACTAGCAGGCATGATCACGAGGGAGGAGGAGGAATATACCCTCCACTCCTCCTCCTCAAGAGCTGCGCTCCAATTCGGTGTTACAGCAAGTTGTAAACGGCTTTCACTTTTTCTTCTACTTTGAAACTTCCTTGTTTCCTGCCTCAGTCTCAGGCTAACATCAGAATGGTTAACTGTATTCCTCGTACGTTACGTCACACGTATATACATTGACTTGGTAAACCAATGTTGTTTGTTTTCATCTAACAGTGTTGAACCCCAAGATTCGTACCCGCAGGTACTACATCCCTTACATTTTTTACGCGTTTACTGAACTTGATTGTGTGCGCGCTAGAGTCTCATGCACCGCCATGTTTTGTAAGACTCCTATCAACAAACAGGGTTACGAATACTAGTCAGAAGATCCTTGAGTCTTTTAAATGTACATTCGCCAGCCTCAAAACACCTACACGTCCACCGCTCTGTCATTATCCTATATATTATATGGAGCCTAAATACGGTTTGGACATTTTCTCGGCCCGATATCTACGGCTTAATAAAAGTAATTGATAATCCTGAATTAGACCCGGATATGTCATGCAGGCACGAAGCCAGGATTTTGATTCGGGGGGGGGGGGGGGGGTGGGCCTCATCCTTCTACCCCCCTTGGCTACGTGCCTGATGTCATGCGTCCTGCACACTATGATTGCAGTCTCCTTCAAATTCACCATTCTCTTAGGTGCTGAAATCTATAAAGATTTGGTACCTGCGTTGCATTAAGATTTCGAATATTGCTATAAAAACTCTACATATAACATTGATATATGCTTTGGAAAAAAGTGTTTTCTGTTAATGTTTACAATTTTATTTTTCATCTGTGCCTTATGTTTTTCAGAGTGGTGCAAGAGACTTGAGATCCTGGACTGCTGTACGTCGTGAAGCCAGATGCTGCTTTTCCCCCGCGGTCGCGCCGTGACTGACGCTACTCGATCTTGCACAATAGTGGTTTCTGGACGTGTCACAAAGCTTTTATAAAACTTTGATGGCAATGTTTCATCATGACGTAGTCGTATTTGGAGTCAGGGTTGTTTTGGAATAGATGATCGGATTTGCTTCGGTATAGGTGTGGGTCCAATTCGAAACGGAGATGGTTTGGGGGACAAGAGGTGTAGCGGTGTCTTCGGTCGGAGTAGAGTAACTAAATAACAGTAGCAAAGTAGTGCATTTCTTTTATTCTTACCGCAAACCCTTCATTGGTGAAGAAATTATCACGTGCCAAAAATAATCCAAGGTTGAGTAGACAACGACCACACACATTAGGCAGCGTACGCAAGCAGGATTTTGAGGATGACAGTTACCGCCGAAGCACCACCTGTAGGACTAACGCTGCCACGTTGATTTTGGACAAAAGAAAAAAAAAAAAAAAGAGACCATTTTGCTACTCTGCTCCGCAAGCGCAGGAGAGTAGCACAACGGTCTACACAGCTACCCTAGGTATTAGGAGCTGTTGTGGTGGTTTTAATCGGAGTGGTTTTGAGGATCGTAGTGGATTTGACCGGAGGAGCTGTTGTGGTGATTGGATTGAGTTTGGCTGCTCAACCTGCTGTCGTAGTTGGGGTGCGTGTGTTTGGGGTAGGTCCAGGCGGAGGAACAGGTCTGGCTGTAGTTGTGGATGGCGTCGGAATAGAGCAAACCCCATTCTTGCAATATCCATAGACCCAGTGGCGAATCTGTAAAGAAGCGCAAATGAGCTAATATAATTTTAATGTGCCGCATGTGGGACCCTTAAAGTAGACGTAATTTGTTAATAGGGTGTTCCTTCCGTTAGTTCATTTGCGTTTTAAAAGTGTGTGTACAAGTAAATGTTCAAGCCTGGAGTTTAAAAGTTTGCTTTCAGGAAGAAATATTTCAAACTAGAGTCGGTATTATAATTGCTGGGATTCGTCACTTACTCTGAAATCAATACGAAAATATACGAGGATTATAGAATATTGAAAGCTCAGCAACTACAAAATATATTTTCACTGTTGTATTTAAAAACGAATACGCAGTTTATAAGACGATTATGTCTGTCAGTCACTCACAACTGAGTTATTTGTTTGGTATAACTGTGTACAAAAAACATTTTCCGAGAGACGTCCCACATTTATGAGATCGCCACAAATCGATATGTAATTTTTGTTGCATTGTAATGCAAAACGCTTTACAACGTTTTTGCTACAAGGAGCAATAATGAAAAACTTAACAAGTATCGTTCTCCCCCTCTTCTGCAGAGATTAAAATCACATGTCAGTACAAACGGGTTGAGACCATTTGCGTTTTTCTATTCGTGTTTATCTAATGGTTTAAGCAGTTAATTGCATTAATTTGTTCATATGAAACTAATTTATATTTCAAAATTACCGGGTTGAAAAACTACCGGCGATTCGCTAAAAGAAATATTGCTTATGTAAATCTCTGTGCAGAGCAATGGTTGCTGCTTCGAGGCGTCTAGTCTACTTTGTGGGATTCATTGTACGAGTATTTTGCTATTTTTGCATATTCAGCCCAGTCTGTTGTCTTAAAAATTTACTAATGAAAACATGTGGTTGAACCTTTACATTACAATTGTTTGCTTTGACATCAGTTTAGAGTTGAGATAGATAAATAACAGTTTTACAGTATGAAGTTTGAAGAACATTGCATTTTTTATTTGAATTTAGTGTGTATGCCTTTGGAGTAGTCCAAGGAGATTATTTGAGCTGCTGAAACGTTTCGTTGAATCGTGTTAATGTAGCTTTGGCTATAGATGTCGGCAGATGTAGATACACTTACCTTGCAAAGAGTTCCGTCTGGCCACCTCCAACGTCCATAGGAACAGTATTTCACATAGGTGCGAGGTTCAAGAAACGATTTTTCTCTAACATTCTGAAATCAAATTTGAGTGGGAAATGAAGTGTTATGATATATTTTAGAATTTTAACTTTTGAGAAAATAAGACATACGAATAACACCACTAAAATCAGCATGCAGTTGAGTTGGTGTTGAGAAACGCGACTCTTAAAGGAGCATTCAAGTGGATCCTGAAATCATCTATTAATGATGCCAACTCAATCTACGGGCTCTAGGACTATTAAACAAATTTAAAATTACACTCATGGTTGGCCAATTGTTTTCATTAAAAATTCTAATAAAAGTATGTGACAGGCCCCTTTTTCTGAGCCTTGGGTCAGACACCTGAAGGGGCCGTCGCAAGGAGTTTTTAAACAATAATTGCGGTATTGCGTCTCTTACAGTCAAAGATTTTAAGTTGTTATTAAAATATAATGCGCGATCTGCGTAAAATTATCAATAATAGAATCGGTCGAAATATGCGCGCAATTACTGTTTTAATTGGTCAAATTTTATAGAAGTGGTAGAGCACACAAAAAGTCACCCACTCCCAACAGAAAAGTAGTGCCCGTGTATTTCAATCGCTGCGAGTATACTGAGGTGTCTTACCATCTAGAACTGATAATATTTATTGACTGAAGCTCAACATTGTGCAATAAAAACAAGCTTCTACAAAACTAGCTAGAGAGCCCCCCCCCCCCCCCCCCCCCTTTTATGAGAACCGATGAGTACTCGCATGACACTGACTGGATGCCAGGTTTACGTCTAGAAATTAAATCATGCAGCTATAAACTCCATAATGTTACAAAAAATTTTTTTCAAAATCTTAAATAAAAAAACCATATTAAAAGCATGAAAGTGGCTTTGATTACAAACTATGTTAAAACTATATGTGCATGTTTCTCGTAGAATTATATAGAGCATTGAGTCGTGCGTTAGGATATATTTTACGTTTATATCTGGTCACATTTGGTTTCATAAGGACAATATTTTGGGGATCTCCAACTCAGATATACTAAATGTATAGTGTAATTTCTTAAATATTATTTAAATAAAAAGTGAGTAGTTTGGGGTTATGCCTCGGTAAAACGCACAAAACAGATATATAGCACTATTACATAAACCCTTACGACGATCACGCCAGACATTTGAAACAAGGCTGTAGCATTGACAACAAGCGATCAAAATATGTCTAAAATGGGCGACCCCACAACTTTCTGAAATAATCACTGCTGATTACCTAATTAACACCTTGCATAAGTAATAAAAATGCTAAACTACTACAAACAGGAATATCGTTCCCCATCTCAGGGTCTACAAGATATCGATTAATTACCAGCTCGCCTGGACTCTATCACTGCTTACAATATCGCGTTTTGTGTAAACCAGGGTTTTCGACTATCGGTACTGTTTAATGCTGCAAATATTTGAAATGTCACACTTCGCCTGTCAGAGGCTGTTTAGAGCTGTCATTCTTTAATTCGTATCTGCACTAAACCTACGCGCTTTCATCCGTTTGTTTGACCGGTGTACGTTGAGTTCGTGTTCATGTGTTCGCTGTAATTCTTTTATTGCATGTGCCCTGGGCATCTGATATCTGTCACATTTGGGGGATATAGGTTCGGTAGCTGAATTTTAAGTAACTCGTTCAAATATTTTTTTAGTACATAAGATTCTGTTGTGCAGTCCACTATACTCATATTGGAAAATTGAATTGACTGTTATAAGCCTCCGCAGCATAACTTGAAGGAATATGTCAAATATTTACTTTTTTTTGTTATGCTGGTGAATACACACACACACACACACACACACACACACACACATATATATATACAACGGGCATGGTGGCGGGAGGGCGAAGGCGTGGGTATATAACGGAGAAGAAAGAAACCCTTGGTAAAAGGAGCAACAACGGACGATTTAATCTTCGACGTTTCGGCCGGAGTCCGGCCTTCGTCACGTTGTTGTTTTTCACTAAGGGTTTTTTCTTCTCAGCTATATATATATATATATACATACGTAATTTATTGTTGGTACTGCTGACTCAGAACGAAACAGCTTTAAGTTTATTCATGTGAATAGTTCATGAAAGTCATTCACTTTTGTGTTTTGGTTTAACTACACATTTTTCAATTCATGAAATGTCGAACTGTAATCTGCAGAGCGTTGTATATTCAAATAGTCTTATGCATTGTCAAGAATACAAATATAACATTTGTGGAAGTTATGGGATGATATGCAAGCCTTACCTGCGATTCTAGGTTGTCCGGAAAGCTGGAACCTATTTCTGCAGCGGCCAATACTACAAGAAAAAAAATGAATATATTTTTAGCATTAAGCGAGGTAAAGCAGTGACTGGAGGTACAAAGTCGTACTGGCGAAACGACTGACTTGAAATTATTTTTAACATCAGAGTAAATTAGCGCCAACTCTTGAAGAGGCAGGTTTCTAATAACATGTTGGTGCTTTTCCTGAAGAGGTTGAGACGTTTTTCAATGAAGCGCTTGATTGACTTCTTTACCACGGCAAATAATTTTCGCACTTGTATACCAAAATATGTACGCCGTGTTACACATATAACGTGGTTTGCCTACACTGACAAAATTTTGTAAGCAGCGTTTTCGCTTCAAAGAATAACTTAAAACAAAAACAGGTAAACCGGAAAATTTAATCACACTCGTCATCCTGAACAATAGGATAAAGCAATGCATGTTGAGCGATGATAATAATGATAAGAAGCTAATCATCATTCACTTTCCTTTCGCCGTGTAGTGTCACGCCTCCCTCCCTTCATCAATTTGTTTATCGCAGTTCTCACCTCAGAATATTTTTACTATCCCCGCCCCATCGTATTTCCCCTTGTTTAGATCACCCATGTAAATTTCATCCAATTCGAAAATCAACTGTTTCTTACAGATTTACACTCTACCATTGGCTATCGAGGATTGGAAGTCGCAACATCGTTTCTATAAATGATACTACTAAATTGTCTTAATTTATTTCCCTCTTTCAATCTAATATAGCTAACTAGCTTAGAGTGTTATATTTGGGTTTCCATTTCCATGTTTTGTTTTCTTGCCACCCCTTGTATAATGCCCGACAGGCCCTCAAGGAAAATAAATTATGATAAGAAGTAATCACTAAGAAAGTTTCACTGAAAAAGATTAACTCAAGTTTTGTTTCTTACTTGCAAAATTTGGGAGTGCCATTAAGATGGAATTGGAACACTTATAAATTAAATGCGTAAATGATATTTTTATTTGAAGAACATAACCTGTGCTTTTTATGCACATTGTTTATTCGTGATTTTTTGGTTAACAGGTTTAATTTTTGGTTAATTTTTTCTGGTTAATAAAAAAGCAGGCTTCATTATTTGGTTAACAGGTAGGAGAACCATATTTGAATATTACCGTTTTATTCCACAAATATTTATCACCCCGTCCTAGAATGAACATTTAGGAGCGAAAAGAGTTGGGAGGTAGCGCCAGCGGCACTTTGCTCTGCATCGTGACAAAAACCCTCGTTCGCCCATTTTATCCTCCTAATCAATTCGGTCGGTCGAAAACACATTGTGCGAGTATTCACAACCTCCAGCTAAAACGACATATAAGTGCTGTAATGTCCAATATTCAAAATTGTAGCGCTCCTAGCAATTCAGGTGCACTGTGGGAGCAGTAGACTCTCAACGGGTAGTTCCAATTTTGGTTTCGACGAGTGTGCGCTAGTTGTGTGCTTTTGTTTCTGCACCGCCATTGCTCACGTCGTAGTCGATTTCTCTACACTTAAGTGCGATGCAGTAAGTAGTCTTTTCTTCTCGTAGCTACATATCGTACAAAGCAAATAACGGAACAATTTTGATTTTGCTAGTACAGTAAGGGAGCAGAAATGTTGCTGTTTTTTCATCTCTTTTCACCCGCGATTTTCGGTGCCAACATTTTCGGTGCCAATAACTTTAACGCTCCACTGCGCTTACCATGTACCCCAAATATTTCTAAGATGTACTTATTTGGTGGTTTTCAATGGTGCTCAGCAAGTTTCTAGCTAAAAGCATATAATTTTTTTTTTCACTAAATGAAAAAAATAACAAACCAATTTTAGTTAGTTATTATACTTATCGGGCAATTGAAACTTTTTATTACGTCTCCCAAACCTTTTAATTCACCTGCGAAGACCAGATTGGCCATTAGTTTAGCTGTTTTTGTTTCTTTAGAAATACTACTAGCCACCATTTGATAGGGAAGTCAAGGGTGGGAATACAGAAAGAAAGGTAAACAGAACACAGAGCAAAATAGGAAGATCTCCCCCACGACACTTCAAGAATACATAAAAAAAACGATAGGCTATCACAGCGGTGTTAATACTGATTTCGCAGTAGATGCATTTGTGATACTCTCTCGGGAACGGTTTCAATCATTGATTGTAAGAGTTAGAAATAAATAAAATACAGACAATATTTGCTACAGTAGAGCCGACTAAGAAAAAAGAAATCTGTAAATCCGAACAATACATTTTGTAGACTCCTCTTTTTTAAATCTGGTCCAGCATATACAAAATGTTACGACGTACTAATTCCGCTGGGTTCGCAGTTACCGTGCTTGTGATACATGCACAGAACACTGTGCAGGTATCACCTGGGGCATACCTTTGAGGGGGCAATTAACAACTCTTGTAATTTAGCCTTCGCTTGTCTTTATCTCTTGTGCTGCATAACTCGGTCAATATTTAGAAATATTTTGGTAGCAGTAACTGCTGAAATGTAGCCCACTTATGCTGAAGCTATATCAATAAGCAGGGCGAAATAAACTGTCACTTCGTCTATCGAAGGTGGTCTACATAACTTACCAGCAATGAACACCCCAAGGACGACGACGGTGAAACTGGACACCATCTTGGCGCTTGGAGTCAGACTACCGGTGTAGTGTACAAACGGATGTTTCGGAGACTTCTTTTATATGGTGGACTGGAATGACATTTTCAGAAGCGAGCTGACGTGACGAACGTGACGCGAGAGCTGAGTCCCCTTGACGTTAATCACTTAGTCATCGCCTACACGTTCCCTGGTTTTGGCGCTTGACGTTAATCACGTTAATCATCGCCTACACGTTGCCTGGCTTTGACGCCTGTTTTTTTTATCTGACGAATGCAACCGAAATGTAATATGCTGTCGGCATGTCTGCAGGATCTTGAAAAAAGTGCCTTGACTATGTGCCACGCTGTTAAACCTATTATTGATTCTGCGTTAATTCGCCAACATTCTTTTTAAAAAGTTCAGACTGCTTGCAGTTCTGCGTGTACACGTCCAGAAATACGATTGTATAATATTTTTACTTAGGTGTTACTTTTGTTAATACTAAGAACTGAAATCTATACTATTAGAGAGGAAGGATTGTAGTGTAAAAATATGGAGGTTCTAAAACAATGATGGGGATCGGACATTAAAACTGCAACTGCTGTTGCATACTTTTTGCCGCAGGCGAAGTGCTAAGAAGTCCAGTGAAATAAAACCAAGTAACAGTGGACACCGTCAGCTACCCTCGATTATCTAAAGACGAAATATTCCTCTGGTTTGACGGTTTATGTTTTTTAGATTTTTGAATAGCATTTTTTTGTGAACTGAAGGTTTTGCCTCTGGGAAAGTTCTTAGTTCATTGGAAAAGTTGGCACTCCTAAAAATAGCCCGGGCATATTTGAGGTAAAACAATTGTTACTTAAGATAATGAACGATTTCTAAATATCGCTTTCCAGTTAAACGAAATTTATCCGTTGGAAATTATGCTTTTCTTCGCTTACATTTTTATAAATGTTGAATTTTTAGTGAAAAGGTCTTGCAAATAATACATTACTTCTTTTGTTTATGCCTTTGCAATTGAGGTTCTATATATTTTCATACAAAAGAAGTTTGCTTACTGAAGGGTATGGTCATGACGTCATCTATTTAGATTTTTGCTAACTTTAGAGCATTTGCCTCACCAAGGCGTAATTCCGACTAATATATCCGACAGATAAAAAAATAAAAATAAGAAATACTTGTAAAAGGTACGGAAACATATCCCGTTTAGCACAAAATTCAGATTATTGCTCTGGTTTTTATGTAAATAAAAACACACAAAAATACTCTCATATATTACAGTGAATATGCGTACATACAGAAATGTTTTAATTTTGCCTTGAAGTAAGAACGTTCTTACAACCATTTTTTTTGGAAATCAGCTTTGTGACACATCGTGTTAGGATGCCAATGCAGCAACTTTCCTTGGGTAAGCACCTTGTAGCACATGAAGCACACGTCGTGTGCTGTCATTTGGAGGGGCTGTGCAACGACATTGGGTAGGAATGTTTCTTACTTTACTCCAGCTTCCTGGCACTAGTGGGACCCAAGAATACTCGAACGCAACACCACTGACCAAGAAGCGCCTTCGTCGTGGCGGAATTCAAGGGATGAAAGCGGAGCCTTTCTTTCAGTCTCTCCTTCGAAAGCCACCTTTTGCTCCTTCGCGAAATTTGATGACGGGGCTGTGGGGACAATGGCAACAGAACGATCCCCAGGAATGCGTCATCGAGCTCTTTGGTGACGATATTCAAATACTGCGCACACAGTGGACGCAAAGACCGCTTCTGCATTCGATCTGGGCTCGTGACAATCGATGCCTCGACATGCATCGCTGCAACGATCGTTGCAACGACGACAATAGACACTTTTAGTTGGGCGTACGCAACGAGCTTGCGTACCCAGAAACATTGCGGGCCGCGAGTGCGCCTGCGCAGAACGTAACGTAACGTTGTGCTGCCGGCGTGCGTACGCACGCAGTCAGACGTTGCGTGCGGGTCCCGCGGGCCACTGCGGGACGGTCTCGCGAGATCTCGGTCGAACGAGAGCGCATTTCAAGATGGCCACTGCCACGGGAAACGGCTGTGGAAACGACGCCGCTCCTTGTGCATATTGCAGTCGTGGGTGAGGTGTCCGAAGGTGGTTATGACATGACTTATTAGCTTGCTGACAGCACTCGACATTACGGACGAATGCCGTCCAAAAATCTGCTCGAGGTCGCACCAACGGTTCGGGTAGGCAAGCCTACGCAGCGTCAAACACAGTGCTTCCTTCCCAGTTATCCTTACACCTTGCGGAGTGGTAATAGTCTACGGAATCAGGAGAGCACTGGAGAGCTCGTCAAAATCCAGCTTTTCGAATCTAAATTGCTGCTTGAAAAGCGTGGCTTCCACGTTGCCGATGTCCAGCAAACCGTGCCGAGAGCGGTACCTGAGGAGTTCGGACTCCCTGCTGCACCTCATCTTGTATTCCAACTCGTCCAGCGTGAAATAGCTGCGTAACTGCGGTTGCACGTTTAGCGTCACAAGATCGTCGATCTCCGCCCACGTCAGCATGGAGGCAACTGGGGGTTTGACAAGATACTTCTTGGAGGCATTGCGATAGATCACCGTACAACAGAACGAAGGAACCGGCTAAGCCTACGGCTTGGCTTGGCTACTTTCGGTCAATACTTGAAAGATTGAAAAAACAGTTCTTTCCTCTAGCGCTAGATGGCGCTAAAATACACTATAAAGCATCTGCGGGTCTGTTTTATATATCCAGTTGGAAGAACGCTAATGCACGTCAAACGCGTCGAACTAAAAGTGTCGTGGACGCGCCACTTGCTGCGTACGCAATGCACCGAAGGTTGCGTACGCAAGCTTCCTGCGTACGCCCAACTAAAAGTGTCTAATAGCCGAGCAATCGCAATGTCTGGAGCTCAGCGCGTGTCCTGTGCTTTGCCAACCCCAGCGTGTGGCTACACTGTTAGCAAAAATAACACGCCCAGACGTGTAAACCGTTGTCCCATAGCGGACACGTCGAAACGTGTTCGTTTTACACGAGGCCATCTGTGCTTTTCGTCTACACATGAGGTGCTGTGTAAACTTAACACGCTACACCGTGTCTGCCTTCCGCAAAACCGTTTCGAGAGTGTTCCTTATGAAACATGGCGGCCAGCGGCCGAGAACAGGCGAAAGACGAGCCCAGCGAGCCGCGCGCCTTTCAGCCGAATTGAAAGCACACAGGGCGCGTTAGTTCTCGTTCGACGTCGTTTATACACAGTAAAGTCTCCAAGCGGCGGACGTAGCTACTTGCAAAGGTACGTACGTAAGTTGTCGCCGGTCGGCGCCGTCAATAGCTTCAACAAGCCGCTAAACAAAACAAAAAAAAACAAAAAAAAAACGAATGCCGAACTCACATGGATCAATAACTTGAGCAAACTATTTAGAATCGGGCGGTAACTTGCGCCACCTATCGAGATTTCTAGCAGCCTGTTTTAAAAAAAAAGACAAGTCTGTTAACACAGCAACCCTACATACAACGCAGGCAACACAGCACGCAGCTACACAGCACCGACATGTACACAAACACAACAACCGACACTACGCACGACACTTCCTACTCGATATTCATTTCTCCCCGCGGCGCATATAAGCTTGACATGTGCGGGTGAGCTCTTTGGTCGCTGACCATTACAGATTTATAGAAGAATACACAAAACACGGCGCAATGGACAGCCGTGTGTTAAACTGTTTGCATTTAAAAAGTATGGAGGCAAAATCTATAATGTTAGTCCGTTGCAATAAATAACGATATGTTAACCATAAATCTTAAACCGGTCATGAAAAAGTTCAATTTTTGTTATTTTGTTGCTTGACCAGTGTTATGAGCAGTCCGACTAGCTTGAATCAGATAGGAAAACAAATTATTGGGATTTTGTCATTACGTATACAATAATAAATGAAAATGATCCTTGCGCAAAGCATTTTTTATATATTTTTGTGAAAGACATCCGGACATCCGCCCAACACTTCACTTCCGCTAGTTGCAGCAGTTGCAGTACGGGAGCAGACGCCTTCACTTTTGGGGCTTTTTGATGCAGTTTGTTGTCGTATGTCGTGTCGGTGTCGAGAAGAGCGGTGGGGCTTGGGAGTGACCGGTGTTATTCGTGAACACTGGTGTGGGGCGCTGATGCGTCTTTTTTTTATACTGCTACCACCCCGAACTTTGAAGATACACGGGCCCGTAGCAGTGCATTACGCTGAATCGCGAGCTCCTTCTCTGTTGACGTCGCTTTCCTGGTACCACTCGTGGATACTGCAAGCGTTTAAACTGTGTGCACCGTCTCGCCTACATCCCCGGTGACGTACTCGACCTGTTGAAACTTATTGCTTCCGTCATTTTAGAGTACGCAAGGCAGTTATCTCGTTGGTCTGGTTTCGGTTATAAAAGCAAGGCAAAACGCTCGTAGTTCCCGCCCTCAGTACACGTTGGACATCTTGCGCACTTTGACACCGGATAACTGAATGAACGAGGATTTACATTCACTTCCGAGGTTACTCTCGCCGCTTCCTCACCGTTGAGCAGCAGTATGAGCTGGCGACAAGCCGCGGATGAAAGGCTTGAGCATCAACAGCCCAAGCGCACTCGGTGCCGATGCGGGCGACGCGGGTTTCTGCCAACCGGGAGGCCAGCACAAACCGTGACCGTTCCAGCTCTTCGTCATGACACGGTGTTGCAGAGAGCAGGGTAAAATACAGCTACACGGATCACCGAAGCAAACGACTGCTATCTTAAATCTTGGCTTGTGATTGCGCCTTTCTAGTAGATCATCTTATTCGTTTTGCTGGAGAGACGCAAACGACGGGCATAACAAAATCGCTTGCATATTCCGCATATCTCGCAAAAGCATTTACCCTGTCACCTTGCGAAAAGCGCGAAACACGGAGTCCGCACCGTCCTAAGCTTCCCGTTTTTTACCTGCTTTAGAGCAGTTTGTACCTGCTAGTAGTTATGCCTACTGAAACTGAAACAGGGCAGTGCCAGAGAGAGAGACAAAGTTGGGAAAGCTTGCGCGC